CCATTCATTTGGATGTATAGAAGGCAAATGAGGAGGCGCCTTTCGCTTAAGGTGGGCTGGGCATGTTCCAAAGCATTTTCACAAATTCGTATGTGGCCAACCAGCAGCCGCGCATAATATCCTGGCAGTGGTTGTGAGAAACAAAATTAATGAGCTCGTCGGAGTAACTCTCGGTGACTGGGGTGCAGTGATGTTTTGATCGTGGTCATACAAAATCACGGTGGAAGATATAGAAAATATAAAAAAACGTGCGCAACCAGCTGAACGATTGACGTAATCCGTACACCAGGCGTCGAAGCGGTCAGACTCCATTTGAGCAAAACAGAAATCAAGCGGAACATTAGTTTCCTACATCTACTTGCATAACCATAATCGAAACAGTGCGTGCACCATACTTTCAACCATGGAGAGTTACTAAATTTAACTCCAATGCACTTATCAAAACCGTTTCTCGCTACCATAGCTAGGGGATTATTTTCAGCTTCTGTTTGGCCAAGAGAGATTGTCGAACCCTCTATCTGCGTCCGATGCAGGCCTTGGCTCTGCTTGCTCTTTTCATATACCAAGATCTATATGTACGGCTCTGCTCTGCTTTAGCCCTGTAGAGTGTGCTTTTTACTGAGCACCAGTGCACCGCAGGAAAACAAAGCCTGTGAAAACAAGCTTCACAGCTGCTGCTTCTCCGCAGTGCACCGGTGCTCGGAAAGAAGTGCGCTCAACGGGGCCGCGAGAACAAAAAGTATGAATTACACGAAAACGTCGTTCAAATTAAGCGGGTCATGAATACATTGAAAACGTAGCGGGACAGCCCAAGTTTTGAAATTTGTTTGACTTAACCAGAAGTATTAAATCTCCGAGTTTGAATTATCGCGAGCCTACTGTATAGACCGTTTTATCGTGAATAGCGCCATTTTGAGAGCGAGAGGGGAAAGGGCTACCGGCGCTTTCCCCCTTTCTGATTGTGTAGAAAGAGTGAAAGCCCCGGATGGAGAGGCTCGGCCGGTGTTGGGCGTCTGCAAAGCCCCAACTTCGTTCGCGCTTTCTTTTACGTTTCAAACTCCCAAACTTAATTAGAGCCATGGTCTTCGATGGCGACAGTCCCCCGGTCACCGGGACACGATTGCTGGGTGGTAGGGTGCACGAATAACGACAAAAGGTGTCGAATACTGTCCGAGGACCTATGTAGCTTGCATGGAATCCGGCAAGGCAAGTACGGCTGCAATGTTTTTAAGCTCCATTGCTTTCCGCATGACTGTAAATGATGAACCATTTATACATTTTTGCTTGCAATGGGCCTATTTCAACGTAGCCGCTTTTAGTTGTAATCAACAAGCGATACACGAAACGGGAACCTCAGTTAACTTCGTAAACGCCGGGAGCTGCTACACATCGTCTTGCAGTCCTGTTTTTATCTTCGTGTCCCTGTCCCCATGTTCATCGGCGGTACAGCGTTCGGTGCGCGCTCCATTCACGAAATGTTCCGAGCGAAGTCGAGAGGATGGCGTTGAGGAAACGCCTTTTCGGTTTACGGACGCAATCCACTGCCGCCGGAGACAGGGGTCATGTGGAAAGTGATGGAGCTCAAAGACATTGCAGCCGCTCTCGCCTTGCCTGGTTCCTTGCAAGCTACATATGTCCTTGGACAGTATTCTATGCTTTCTGTTTTTATTCCTGCACCCTATGACCCAGCAATGATGTCCCGATGACCGGGGGACTGTTGCCATCGAAGCCTCTGGCTCTAATTAAGTTTGCGAGTTTAAAACAGGAAAGAAAGCACGAACAAAGTTCGGGCACAGCAGCCACCCAACACCGGCAAAGCCTCTCATCCGGGACTTTCACTCTTTCTACACAATCAGAAAGGGGGAAAGCGCCGGTAGTCCTTTCCCCTTTTCTCTCTCGCCCTCTTTCAGTAAAACGGTCTATACTCTAAAGGAGATAGGGCTCACTTGATTGTGCTTAATATCACTGAATGGTTATGCAAATTTTAATTTGCTAGTTTTATTTCTCAAGCACTTGTTGTGTTGGGTATTCAAATCAATGCAAATTCTTACTTTGGTTCAATTTATGGGAGGTTTGTTTTATATATCATGTGCAGTAGAAAGGTGAGGAGCTGGGCTAGGTAGTAAACATGTTGCTTGCTGATGTTAACCATGTATGTCATATACAGCTTGTTGTGATTGTGTATTGATTTCGAATCCTCTTCTGCTCTTTATTTCAGGCTGCTCTTATATGCACCATGAAGATATCGAAGAGGTCTCCAATTGAAGGACAACTATAAGCACAAGCATGGAGGGGCATCTAGATGGCGAGCGCAAGGACAACTGTGATGTAAAATTTCTCCCAACTTAAAGCAAAGGCATGCCTTCTTCCAATAAAGGCATTGTGGCAAAACTTCTTAATTGGTTCGTTCGTTCAGCTGTCATCTCTACGAGCAGCTGATCTCACACAAACAAAATCCTGGCAATGAGTAGTAGAGGTTCTGTGCTCTTTTTCTTGTTGAACTCTTGTTGTTTTGTGTAAGGATAAAAAATGATGCAAGTTAGTATATTGAATGACAGAGCCTATGAACTCTCCATACCAATCCATACCTCAAAAGTTTCATGCGACTTCGGCTTGCTTGAACATGGAAGCTGTTTGCACTAAATAACGGAGCACTAGACCTTTCCGTCTTCTTGAAGCCCATAGCTACGAGCCATCCGCACCAATCCTGCACCTCCGATACGTCGGGTGACACCCCTGGCAAACGTATAGCCCTTCCAGGGGAGTCGCCTGATGTATTGGAGGTGCGGGTGGTACGGATGGCTCGTAACTTTGGCCTTATCTAAGGCCGAAAGGTATAGTGCTTCATTTTTTAGTGCCGACAGCTTTCATAATTCCTACGGATAGCCCTCCGTAGTGAGCTGCAGGCATTCCGTCATTTTACGAAATTATGTGCCTTGTTTTTACAGACTGTCCAGTTTCCAGGGTACGGGAAATCTTGCCGGCAATATAAAACCAGCAACTTTTACCAATAAAATGGGAAAACGGATAAGTGTCTGTTAAGTGGAATATAGACGTTCCGTCATTTTACAAAATTATATGCCTTGTTTTTAACAGACTGTTCAGTTTCTAGATTAAGGGAAACCATGCTGGCACTATGGAACCCGGAACTTTTACCCATAAAATTGAGTGAACTTTTTTTGCAGTGCTCCCATACCCCTTGTCCAAGTCGAAGATGGTCAGACATCTCCGATTCCCTCTAAAATGAAGCATCCGTTTCCATTGAAAATAAAGAGTTTCACATTTGATGTTGTAGTACGTCATTCGCATTCTTACGTATTTCAAGAAGACATTTAAATCCCAAAATGGTTCAACCATAACGGCCACAAAACATTTTGAAAGACGGCTGTAAAACGGTTTTGAAAGACGGCCGAAAAACGGTTGACGACATCGGTCACAGAACGGTTGGCGATATCGGTCTCAAAACTTTCCCCGTTATCGGTTCAAGTTATTGGACCGATCTGGAGCCGGGGTGCAAATCATTATTGGACCGTTATTTCCTAAAACTTTGACCGATATTTGTCCGTTATTGGTCCAATATTTTTGTGCTGCCTGGGGTGGTGTTGGTCCGCACCGAAAGAGCCAGAAGGAATGGAAACCTTATGTTACAGGTTATCACACTATGCTATTTAACGAATGCATAAGCAACGTATCAGTATCCATTATAGCCAAAAGACTATGGATTTTTGGGACAGGGGTTGCATTGAAACTACCTGTGACTGGGTATTCTGCCAAGACTATCGGGAGCATTCACCGAAGGCCATAGCTGTGCGCGCGACTGCTGAGCACATGTTGATGGCGAGCTTCCACAGTTCTTTTGTAATGTGCATTCCACACCATCAAGATTGCTGGTCTTACCAACATATTAATGTAAACTTGTTCTGAGCATGCACTCTAAACAGCACCCACAGATATGGTGTTGTATAGGGTGTATATAATACCCCCTATATATATATGGATAGTTTTCGCAAACTGCTAGTTGCGAGTGCACCCTCTACCTCCCACTTCCTTGTCCCCGTGCAGTTCCTCCGCTTTCCTACATGGTCCGTGCTTCCCTTTCACAACTTCAAAGATGACTACCGCGACGCACAACTCAATTCACGCCAAGGCTGCTGACTAACATAAAGCCTGCATGGTGCAAATGCAGGACGCTCATTCTCTTCTTCTTTCCTTAATTATTGAAAGAAGAGAAAGTGGACTGGCATGCTGCTGCGCACTGTGCAACTAGCAACCTCTCCTCGTTGAGAGAATGAGCATTGCAGCGGCATGCCACCGCACTTCCCAGCTAAAAAATTTAATTAGATCCAATTGCAATTCCAACTGGATATAATTGGAACCAATTTGTTTTAGTAAGTTCCAATTGGAAACACACTGGCCAATGGGTCTCACCAATTAAAATAATTTTTCCAGTTGGAACTTAAATTAGTTCCAAATGGTTGCCGTTGGGTGTCCGAAAACCTAACTGGTACCAATGGGAAATTCATATTGGAATCTATTGGGAATTTTCAACTGGGTTTGAAAAAAGACAGCCCGAAGCGCAGTTGGACATAAGGTATTTTGTCTGATGAAATCACGACTCGGAGTTTAAGCAACAAAACCGCTACGAGGTTTTCACAGCTCTAGAACTTCCAAATCCCTGGGACATGACCAAACAGGTCAGCCAGGTCTGGACATACAGCCTTCGAATGCTCCAAATTAATTGTATACTGCAGTAAGGTAACTTTGAATTACCGCAAGGCAACTAAAAGACAAACTGTGCCAAGTCTATACCGGTCATTCATTACATGAAGACAAAAGCTTGAATCTTTCTTAGTGCAGCATTGCATTTTGTAGTTTTTCTTCTTATATTACAGAATGTTTGCAAGAAAAAAAGTGTAAGAGGACAAAAACAGAATTAGATGCCAAATATTAAAGATTATGAACAACACTATATCATATTAGAGGAACAGGGGCATACTCACAGTGTGTACCTGAAAAGATCGAAACATATCCACTCGACGATGCGGCGGCGGAGCTGTACTGGAACTTTGGCCTTCTGTGCGACCTGTGAAAGGTTGCGTAAAATGTCCTTTGGCGTCGGCGGAAACACATATTTCTTTGCGTCCAACGTTGAGCTCGGACCCTCCTGGATCATGGGCACTTCCATTCTGAAGATGTGAGCAAAGTTATTATATCAATGACACACACCTATAAAAACAGGTGCATAAGCTTTAGAGCTCACAGTCCCGCAATATTGAAAACACTTATGGCGAATTTGGGAGGTCAATTGTCGGCAACTTATTTTGCCCGAAAACCGGGAATAGTGTTTGCGTGGTCAGTTTCCGGCCGGCGTGCACTGTTCGGGTGGTGGTTCTACGGCAAGCACCGGCAACTTTCCGGAGCTTTTTCCACCCGAGCTCCGAACGTCTGTGCGAATAGGCGCCAGACTGTATCCGGTATCGCCCCTTCCGAAATGGAAGAGAAGGTCTGTGAGAAAAAAAATGAATAAAAGAAGGTAACTGATCTGAAGTCACTTTAGCAGCCGCTACGAGAGTCAATCCAAGTCGTTGGGACATGGGTGACGGCGGCGACAGGCTCTCGCTAGTGGTGTCGTACGGGCAAGAGGTGAAGTAGACTGCCACTATCTGGCATTTCGTGTTCGGTTGCTGAGGGTCACGTGGCATGCCGCCGGCACGTTTCTGGTTGCCGGATCCGCCAACTCGTTCTCGCTGGCGATTGGCCACCCGAATTCGCCATCATAAAAACAACTGCATGAGCTGTAGAACTAACACTCCTTCAACACCTTATAGCTAGGTTTCCATGTTTTCGGATAAATCCGAAAAAAGGTGAAAAACAGTCGTCGGTAAAATTGTTGAAGGGTCAGGACATGCCAAAAATAAAATATGTGGTAACTATACTGCTAGGATCCATTGTATGTTCCTATAATCCTGCTAAATATTTCAATTAAAATGGCGCAATAGTTTTGTGGATAAATTAATATATTTACGGGACCGTCGAATCCCCCCCCCCCCCCCCCCCCCAATTCGGAAGGCTGCCATGGCTGGAAGGTGTTTGACGTCACCAGCCAACTGCACAGGGTGTCCTTGCACGCGCTTACAGACTTTGCTCTTTCAGCGTCTCAAGATTTAGCTTCCTCGTTTACCTTCCGCATTTCAAGCATGCAAGCATGCATGTATACTATTATGTCTACGGCATCGCTTGTTTTATTGAAGTCTTTGACACTGATCGCAGCAAAGAGATGTCGGAAGCTGTCCATTTCGATTGCGACCCACTGGCGACCAGCTCCAGCGACGGTGAATCACAAACGAACTCGCCATGGTCACCGTCGTCTGGGACAATCTTGCAGGTGCATGCAGGGGAAAAGGTAAAAAAGCCGAAGGCGAGAGCAAAAATAGTGTTGGGGTTGCCAAGCTCCGCGAGCGGTTTTGATCATACCTCATCCGTACATTTCAGCGACTGTACGGTAACAAAACTTGCAAAAGTATGGATTGTTGATTGCTTCCTTCATGAAATAGCGAGAAAATTGCAATACAAACTCGAGTTCGATACACTCTCTCACAGGACACAATTTCTAGCAGAAAGCCTAGTTTTTTATTCGGATCCTCTTCGTGCAAACAGCAGCTCGTAACAGACAAACCCCCATCGTCTGCTCTCGCATCTCGTCTGAGTAATGCATGACTGGATTGCATCCTGGCACATATTCGATTTTCTTGGTGCAGCGAGTGCATTCACACGTGCAGTGCTGGTGCTGGAACAAACTCGGAAAGTGCACCCGCTCCTGCAGCGCCCACTGAAACAAACCTGCTCCACGCTGCGAGTGGGCATGCTTGGGCACACGTAGGCACAAGTGCTGTAAAACAAACTCGCTATTAAAACACCTCTAAAAAATAATCATACACTTCTGGTGAAGCGGCTACAGGAGCAGGAGGTGGGGTCAACTCTTGGGGCGCCAGCCGTGTAGCTCTCATCTTGGAGCCCGCGACCAAGGTTGTGGTATTATCCCAGTCTAGGTACTCGTCCAGTTCTACATCAAGGACCTGCAAAGGTTACATTCAAATAATTTTAAATTCTAAACAGAAACCAAAGACAAGATTAAAAAATTAAAAATAAAGAACTGACGGTGTTAGGAATACTATGCTAAAAGCATGCAAGTATTTTTATTTAGAAAGTGGCTATTCTGCCGGCAGCCGAGAACAATTTTTCTGTTATTCTACCGGCAGTCGCCTCCTTTTAGCTGTCTGAACGTGCGTGGGAGGGTTAACATTTTTGATTTGAGCCGCCGCAGACTGTCGCCACGATGCAGTGTAAACGGTTGGGCTGGGTAGGTTAACAGGCGCCCCAATGATAAATGTGCAATGAAATGTCCCTACAGCATGCAACTCGTGTAACAAGTGTCTATGAAACATGTGTCCTATCAAATGTGCCTGGAGAATAACAACTTAAAATTGGAAGCAACAGGCAGTAGAATAACGGAAAAGTTATTCTGCCTACTGCCGGCAGAATAACCACTGCTTTTATTTTTGTGCACTAGGAGTTGAGACTTGAAATCTTCGTTACGAAATATGACTAGTAATGGCGAATTCCACTGGTCGTTTTGGAGGGCACCGGGATCGACTTTTATGGAGCGAGCCTATTTCACTGGGCGATCGGGATCGAGACGGACGTGTTCCACTGGTCGTTTTGGATTAGCTCCCGCTCCAGATCTTGATCTGGATCCGAGAAAAGTCACTCCGACGATTTCGGCGGATTAAACCGGAAACCAGCCGAGCCAGCACTCGGCGCACACACGTGACTCCTTTCCCGTGGGGCATCTCGCCTGATCACGCCCATCTCGCCTCAGAAGAATTCGTAATGGCCGCTTGCTTACCCCTTGGCTCGACAGCCGGTTCATTTTCCAGGAAGAAGAAGAGAAGGTTTTGCCACACTATGGGCATTCCGGCAATCTGCTAGAAGCTCCTGAGATTCCTGCCACTCGTGCGTCAAACACGTGTTAGCGCCGCGATCGCGAAAACGTCTTCGAAACGACCGCAACGGCCGCGGAAAGGGGATTCCCAGGCAGTTGAATGACGGGAAGGCATCCGCCGATCTCGGAGCAGTGGTCATGTTCCACTGGGGATCCGTAGGCGGCGTGACCCCGTTCAGATCGTGCACTCCATTCCGGATCTGGTCAACTGATCCAGGCGCGCTCCAATACGCCCAGTGAAATTCGCCATTAAATACGGACTCTAAGAAAGTTTCTACCTGATGCTTCCGGTTGCTGATTTTTTTGCGGGAGCATTAGTTGTATAAGCGAATAGAGGTTTTGGTTGATTGATTTTAATATACATGTATTTGCATCAGACTAGCTACATCATGATGTGGTCCACTGGACGTTTGCCTGCGATAGGACATGCGCTGAAATTACTTGCACAGTTGTAAGCAAAAAAGGCTCAAGGTACACCTAAGCATTTCTGATGAGTTGTGAATGCGACAGCATGAATGTCGTTTTTGCCCGCGGCATCGTGAAGTGGCCGTGCCGCGCTGACATGGCCGTGCCGCCACTTTGAAGTCTCCCCGACTGGGCTGGCCCCACCCCCAGCCGATTCCTTTTACCGGCACGATGGGGGTACGGGTACACAGCACCATAGGGTGGCGCTCCTTAAAACTGACGCGCGGAGACCACATCCCTCAGGTTTCGGCTTAATTTCGGTGGCGTTTTGTGCGGCTCCAAAGCTAGGAGGCTTCAGACCGCGGCTTCACTTCGCTACACTGGGAGAGGGGAATTTAGCTGCCGTTTGGCAGATGACGTCGGCTTGCTCCATGGGACCACTTAATACTCTCGCATTAAATGGAATAAAATGACAGGAATAAACAATGGCAGATTCCAACATGAGTAATGCTATACGCGCGACGTCGTGCACCTTGACCAGAAATAGCCACACACACGACACAAAACTTCTTTGGTCGTTCACAAAATTAATTGTCAAAATGGACTGCTACAGCTGGAGCATGTCCTTGTGATAGGGATGGACGCTTCCCATGCACGGAGCCAGGATTAAATCCAGAAAACTAGGGAGTTTTAGTAGATCGTTTTCAAAGGCCCGCTACCGCTGCGAGCGCGCGCTTCAGAGCATGCATCGAAGTGGCAGCGCGAGCTCCCGCTGCGATTAGCGTGGCCTGAAAACACGATCTACTAAAACTCTCTACTGTGGGAATATTCTTTTTTTGTCAAATATTTGGTGATGTTAGCATCTTGTTTTACAATTATCACAGTAAATATTAGATGGCTTCAAAATAAACTACACATTATATATATATATATACATATATATATATATTTATTTTTTTTTTTTATGCAACGAGTGGGTTAGGTGGGTTAATATGTTTTAACAAACCATCCTAAGACTGAGATTGTTGGCGTTTCGCGGCCACAGTCTGCGCGTCGTGTGTATAGCGTACAGTCTCCGTATCGTGCGTTTAGTCACTTCCAGTCAAGGTGCATGGCGTCGCGCGTACGCGCCGAGGAACTGAGGGAGAGGAGTAGACGAGAGCGCGCGGGGGCGTCAGAACCAACCCTGGTTGGAATGAGTGGGTACACCTAAAGGTGTCTCCTCTGCACTCGCCGAACGCGCTAGAAGGCAGAACGCGGGCGTTTGGTTTTCGCATTCGAACGCGTTCGACGGGTGCAGTGGAGACAAAGGCTGAGCTTTAGGTATACCCACTCATCGTTAGAACCTGAGCTTGGCGTTCTGACGTCCCCATGCGCTCTCGTTTCCATCTCTAGATCCCCATAACATCAGTGAATGTTGTTTTAGCGAACAGCGCCATTTGAGTGAACCGACGTTTTAGTGAATAACAAAAGCGAGTGTTAACCCCCCCCCCCCCCCCCCTTCGCGCGCGCTGTGCTTAGGCCGCTTTGCAGCGTGTCTGCGGCGGCTCATTACAAAAATGTTAACCAATTTGGCCCACCCGCCCGTGCCTACTCTGTGACTATTCGCTAAAGTGTTTTTCGATGAAAAGTTGGCGTTCGCTAAAACGTCGTTTGACCAATTGATTGCCACCCCTCTTCAGACATACCTGGATGAGCACCCTGTCCGTTCCTCCAAGTTCAGGGAACTTCATCACAAAGGCATCCTTGATACTGTCGAAATTGAAGTCCGGTGGAATCATCATCGGACGACAAAACTTCTCAAAAAAGCCTACACATCTAAACATTTTCACATAAAAAAAGAAACAGATCCCACACCGAGTTACGTAAACGAGCCGCGAACCAGCACGCCCGAAAAAACGAAGTTGCGCGGCGTATTGTGGCCAGATGGTACGATCTGAAATGAGCCGAAAGTGGAGAAAAGTGTAGCCCAAAAATTGCAAAATAGACAATAAGGTAAACAATTTGGAAACTAGTTATTTCGTCGTATTAATTCACTTCAAAAGTAGAAGAAATATGCTTTTGCATTCCTAAATTATTTTATTCGACCGCTTTGCTCCACCGGTCACCTCCACTACAGTGACTGTACCTCCACTGACTGCCTCGATTACCGAATCCAATCCGGAGCAGAAGGCGCTTGTTGAGATGCTCAGTGGGGTGGCTCGTCGGTGTTTCTGGCGTTGCTGACGCGCTGGGAGGCGCTGTTGTTTGTCTACTTTTTGTTACGACCCAACTAATTGTGATGCCTGTTGTTCACTGCCCAAGATGCGCCTTCACAGGGACATCAATACGACGAGTGGTAAACCATATGAGGGTCCACAGCTGTGAACCTGACTTCCGCGTGATATGTGGTATAGAAAACTGTGCGGCGACGTATCGGCGTTACAGTGCCTACCAGAAGCACGTGTACCGCACGCACAGAGCGATTGCGGTAATAACTCCGGCTCCAGGTAGGGGCGCTACAAAAAACGCTGGGGACATCGTACAAGATGCCTCGATCCCCACCGCCTCGACTTCATCGAAGAAGCGCACGTCGACAACGAGGGCCCCTTCGAGCAGCGGTGATGTCATCAGTGATATCCGGGAACAGCTTGTACTTTTCTATCTGAAAATCACAGAGAAGCTGAAGTTGGTCTTTACGATGGCAGACGAAATATTCACGGTGATGAGGTCTTTGGTGCATCAGATTCTTGACGGCCACAACCAGAATACTCTGAAATTTCTAATGGAGGAGAATGTGGCACCGTCCATCATCGAAAACCTCGGTTCACGTGCAAGTGCTGCAGACATGGTGGAAACTTATTCTCAGGGCTGGGTAGCACACACTTGAGAAAAAAGTACGTCGCAGAACATTTTTTGCATACCGAAGTGACCGAGGTGCCGCTTCAGGCAGGCAGCTGCAATGACTCTGTCTGCTATATCCCAGTTAGAAAGCTTCTGACAAGTTTCTTGCAAAAGGAAGACATGCAAGAATGTTTGATGCAGCCTCCAGCAACACCAGCAGACGTGCTTTCCGACTTCGCCGATGGTGACTTTCTCGGTCATCATCGCCAGCTCGCCCAAGATGACAGCCACACCATATTCCTGCTCTTTTATACAGACGAGCTTGAGATCACCAACCCCCTCGGCAGTGCTGCTGGACGACACAAGGTTCCAGCTGTGTATTTTTCAGTTTTGAATCTGCACCCCCGGTACCTGTCAAAGCTTGGTGCTATCCACCTTATACTTCTTGTGGAGTACTGTGTTGCCATGCGCCATGGCTTAGATAAAGTGCTCGCTCCCCTGGTGGGGGACTTGAACTTGCTTCATGAGCATGGCATGGATGCCAGGAGCTTACATTTTAATAGGGTGACAGTGGCGTTCAGTGGAGACAATCTGTCTATGCATCGACTTGCAGCGCTTCAGTGCTGCTTCAGTGATGGCCGTATCTCCCGGTTTTGCTTAGCGCGGCACAAACAACTTAGGCAGCTCCATGCCACTAGTGACTGTGTTGAAAGGATCAGCCAAATGCACAAAAGCCACCTTGAAGCTTTCGCTCTCGACCCATTAGTAAATGGCCCCCTTTATGGGATATCAAATGTCTCCCCTCTGGAGGGACTCAGCAACTTCGACGTCACTGACCAGCTGCCCCCTGATGCAATGCACGACATACTTGAGGGGGTGCATTGGATGCGTCCTTCGTCATGTCCTCGGTGGAATGATTCAGGACGGAATACTGCGCAAGCAGGATCTCGACAGAGTTGCTGCTTTCAAGTATGGCTTTCACGACAGGAATTCTGCACCCATCGCAGTCAGGGACACCTTCCTCACTGGTAAGGCAAGCCTGAGAGGAACAGCCAGCCAGAGGCGGTGCCTGTTCCGACTGCTGCCTCAGGTCTACGGAGACTCCATCCCCGAAGACAATCAACACTGGAGGGTGTATTTGGCGTACCGACATGTTGTCGACATCATCCTTGCAGAGAGGATCCCCAAGGACTGCATTCCTTACCTTCAAGTGAAAGTCGAAGAGTTCCTGGAGCTCTACACAGCACAATACCCAAATGCAGTAGTGACATCAAAGCTTCACTACTTGCTGCATTACTCGAAATACATCCAGAAGTTCGGACCACCTCGCCGCTTCTGGGCATGCGATTCGAGGCGAAGCACTCGTACTTCAAGAGTCTCGCCTCCAAAGTAAAGAACTTTCGGAACATTTGCCTGACGCTTGCGACCCGGCACCAGCTTCTTCAGGCTTATGAGCTGTCGGGAAGTCGGTTTGACTCGCCACTTGAGACAACTGGAGCGTGGCCGATCAAGGTAGAAGAGCTGCCAGAAGAGCAGCGAGCTGCTGTTGCCAAGGTGACGCTGGAGACAGAAGTTTCTGCTGTGAAAACCGCGAGATTTGACAATTGCCAGTATCGTCTAAGTGACGTGTTCGTTCACGAAATGCAACACGACATTCCACAGTTTCTTAAGATTGAGAAGCTTCTTGTTTTCGGTAGTTCCTTACTGCTGCTATGCCAGCGTCTTGCTGCACTGCACTGCAGCAAGCACAGGTGCTCCTACATTGTTAGGGAACTTAATGACAGCGTGGCGATAATGCCAGATCAGTTGTTTAACTTTTATGCACTTGATCTTTACCGTTGCATAGACTTTTGTGAGGTGGTGCCCCATCACGCACTACTGGATTAGTTTTGCCAAAAACTGCACAGTCTCTGCTTGTTTGTGTAATGGCATTTATAATAACTCAACGTCCCATTTTTTTTTCAGTGTTTTTTTTAGCTTGTATTGTAGTGTTTTGAGTGCAATCCTGGCATTTCAGTCTTGTGCAAGTATCGTCTGTGCTATGTGATTTGGCCTTTTTTATGTTGCATGTATTTATATGTTCTGTATTAGGCTCCAAGGTTGGTTAGAACCATTTCAATGAGCTTATGTTTCTTTTGCTATTGTTCTGCACTAGGATTTGTTATAGCATATTATTTCGTATCATGCCAGTTGTGTCCTGTGTTTTGTGTGCATATGCTTTGTTTGTTTGAATTACGCAATTTTCTACTCCATGCGCCATTTTTCTTTTTTTCTGATGCGGTCTTTGTTAGGCAATGCTACCTTTGGCCCTACCAGCTCATGTGTGTTCTACCTCTATGTTCCATGCTTTCATACATAAAGAATTTTATTGCTGATTTCAGCAACTAAAATTTTATTTATTATTGAGTCATGTACCACATTTATTAAATAGTTGCCACCACACTGTTTATCAAAAATGCTCACACTTCACTTCTGCACAAAGAGTACATACAGCCAGTCATCACAATCTGCAGAAAAAAGTAGGCTAAAGAAATGGCAGATGACATTCCTGCTCAACAATGCTAATGGACTGCAAAACTGAGCACGGCATTGTGAATCCAATTTGTTGCGTGCTCTGTTGTGGCTTGGGACGGGCGATGTGCCGTGACTTGCCATCCTCCAGCATCGCATGGTGCAGCCTGCCCCACACACTGCGGCAACACGCAACCGTTCCAGCCAGAGCCATGCCACACAAATAGGCATGCTAGTTTGGGGCAACCCAGGTGCCGTAACGTGGCACGGAATACGACCCAGCTGGGTTTGATCTTGCCAAGAAGGTATGGCACGTGAAAGGGTCGTGACCCACCGATAGGTATGCAAGCGGCAGACGCAATAAGATAGCAGCGGTTATGCAAGCTAAATCACGGCTTCGAAAGGAGAAAAAAAGCCGTTTACGACTCCCTGTAACGCCGAATTTGAGCGCAGCTCTTGAGGAGGAGGAGGGAAGGGTACTGGGGGATCAGTTGACCTCGGAAGGGGGGGTCACGTGACCTGGGAGGTCACGTGACCTGGGGGGTCACGTGACGATAACGTCATCAGTGATGATGACGATGACGATGCGGATGCCGATTACGTCGTTGGCATCCGCATCGCCATCGTCATCATGACTGATGACGTCATCGGCATCGGCATTGTCATCATCACTGATGACGTCATGGTCACATGACCCCCCCCCCCTAGGTCCTCCGGAAGGAACCCGAGGTGCTCCCGAGGTCCTCTCGAAGGAGCCCGAGGTCCTCCCGAGGTCCTCCCGAAGGAACCCGAGGTCCTTCCGAGGTCTTCCGAAGGAACCCGAGGTCCTTCCGAAGTCCTCCCGAAGAAACCCGAGGTGCTTCCGAGGTCCTCCCGAAGGAACCCGAGGTCCTGGGGGGTCACGTGACGATGACGTCATCAGTGATGATGACGATGACGATGCGGATGCCGATGAAGTCATTGGCATCCGCATCGCCATCGTCATCGTTACTGATGACGTCACCAGTGACGTCACTGATGACGTCATCGGCATCCGCATTGTCATCGTCACTGATGACGTCATCTTCACGTGACCCCCCCCTAGGTCCTCCCGAAGGAACCCGAAGTCCTCCCGCGGTCCTCCCGAAGGAGCCCGAGGTCCTCCCGAAGCCCTCCCGAATAAACCCGAGGTCCTCCCTAAGGAACCCGAGGTCCTCCCGAAGGACCTCGGGTTCCTTCGGGAAAATTTACCCATAATGCACCGCGCGGTTACGCCGACGGCGACGGTGACGCCGACGCCGCTCAAGCCGGAAACGGGCGCCTAAGAGCTGCGCTCTAAAAAATCTTTCCGATTATGCAAGACCAAATGCCAGTTCTACCATGAAGTATAAACCACATGTAAAGGCTCAACCGCATGCAAGCGAAGTAGCCAGCTCCGAGACGAGCGACATTGACGAGAGTCAGCGAC